AATTTGTGACAGGGCCACTTAAAATTATTTCATAAAGAGCTTAGATTACAATAGCGAGGTGTGAGATTTCAATATCAATTTGACACTTAATGTCAGTGTTATCTTCTTACCAATGGATCACCATAATCTCCTTACATCCAATATAACCAATAATCATGATATATACATCTTCCGGCAAATGCCGCTATCACTTTCCTGAACATGGCTGTTTCTACACATGGACGCTTTAGGGGGAAATTTATAGGAACTTGCATCCAAGGAGAACAGCCACTAGGAAATATTAACTTAATCGTCATGGACGATGTTTTTTTTAATAGACGAGCAGTATTCAACTTGTCTCGTTATTTGGCCTCGATGTAACGTCTTTCGCGCATATACGATGCAATGTCTTTTTCGGTATGATGAGTTTGAAGTAAAACCTTCCTCGCAAACGAAACCACGCGTTCAGGAACATCAAAGTTTTTATAATCATCTAATAGCTAAAGTTCATATTTGCCTCTACCTGAGTATGGCACAAGAAAAAACAAACAAGAATCACTAACAAATTTCAAACACAACATGTCTTCTCAACAGGTAATAGAGTAATTTAAATTCATACTTAAAATACAACTTTCCTGTGAGATTATATGTACCAGAAGTATTGATGCTTTCCATTAAGAGAGGAGCATCAAGTAAAGTACTATATTGCACATTTTCAATTACATACATTTCACTAAATGTAAACGCTAAAAATCAGGAAAGATATTCTCAACCACATAAACGAAAACGTCATAATAAATATGGTTTTCAAACAAATTAAGTCAAAAACTATAGATTTGTTACTCAGTAACAAAACATCTTCGTAGCGAGTTTCAGCTTCATCATTGCACTAAGTCAATACTTATAATTGTTAATAGGTCTTTTTAAACGTTGTTACATACAAACAATACATCTAACAACAAAATGTTTAAAGCATTATATCTCCGGAGAGGTCAAAAATTTACATCTTGTGCCATCAAAAATCTAAAACATATAATCGTCTTTATCTCACGCTACCTATGTCATGCAATTTTTTTAAATGTTCGAAAACATTGCACGTATTACTAGCACCGCTTTGCTTGCAACTACTACCAACATTAACATTCCCCATACACGCAATATACAGAGTGTAATTTACAAAATTCGCTAATCGCGATGAATAAATCCTGTACACGTACATCCGAACCGCCATAACGCAAAATCAATTTTTTATATAATAATAAATCTACAATCATTCAAGGGGGATAGTAGCATCCCCATTTTGTTTTTTTCCTTGCATTGTACCCTAGTCACGATATCTCATCATATAAGCGAGGTTTGGTTTCATGTGTGATCCGTTTGCGAGGACAGCGTTAATACTTCGTGGTGGTTATAGTCCGTGCCGGGAGAGTGTGGCCGCCCTAGAGGCCCGTGCTAGGCACAGCGAAGGGCGGCGGGCAGGAGGCAGCCACAGAGCCGGGGCCCTTGCGGCTGCCGTCCTGGCAGAAGTCGCGGATATTGGCATTGGAGTCTGCGTTGCCCTCCTGGGCGGCCTTGGCCGCCAGGGCGGCGATCTGGTTCACGACGTCCTCCATCTCGTGGGAGAGGGCGGTCGAGGGCGAGTCGGGGGGCGGCGGCGGCGGCAGAGAGAGCCCCGGGACGCGCGCCCGATGCCCGTCCGACTCACAGTGACGACGCATGTCCTGCACCTTGTCGAAGCCCGCGCCGGGGCAAACCTTGCACTCGTAGCGGGCCGCGAGCATGCGCACGGCCCAGCCCACCTGGCCCGGGCAGCACGCGCGCTGATGGGCGATGAGAGACGCCTCCGTCGAGAACGCCAGCCGGCACTTCTTGCACACGAAGCCGGCCTCGGCGTCCACGACGCGGCAGTGGAGCGGGGGCTCCTCGGCGGCGGCGACGCGCACCGAGCTGACGCCCGGGGCGCTGTGCTCCAGCACGGCCTGCAGCGCGTGCGGCTCCAGCCCGAGCATGGTCACCAGCGAGCCCTCCACGCCTGCAACAGAACAACGACCACATTACAGCCCACCACCACCACCAACAACAATGCTACCACCACCGGAGCACAAAAACACTGATGCGATCGGGAATGTCTGCGACGCATTTGCCAGCCCCGCCCCGCGAATACATCCACATGCAATAAACGTAATGAAACGTGTGTGAGGGTGGTGCGGCTCCACGGCTCCACCGGGGCGCGCGTCTCAGATTTGCATGCCGATCCAACTTCCTCCGCCCTCCATCGTCACCCCCCTCCCTTTCGCCGCTTCCAAGCGGCCGACTAGTCCACCGCCGCGCGCCAAGACGAGTGACCAAAATGCTTACGCGTCGCGTACAATTGGATCCATTTGGCAAACGAGTCGGGCAGGAGGGAGGGAGGAGCAGGAGGAAGGACATTACGGCGTATCAGGATGGGCACGGCGGGCCGGCCGCCCCGCCCAGCGGCCGCTGGACCCTTCTCGACACCCGCCCGCCACGCCCCGCCACGCCCCTCGGACGCATCGCCTTGGCGAAGGCCCCGGGGCCCCCGACCGACAAATTAGTTTGACACGGGCCACGTGTCAGATAAAGTAAAGCAAGCGGGAGGAGAACAAGGAGGAGTGAGAGGGGAGAAGGGGGCGGTCCAAACTTCGGAACGAGGGGCGCAGGTGGCCGGTGGGGGTGGTGCGGCCTCCACTTCGGCCCCGCTGGCCCCCGCAGTAGTGCGCATGGCGCGAAGACGGAAAAAACGGGGAAATAAAAAGAGAGGGAAAAGACTTGAGCTACCTGCTGCCGTGCTCTGGCCCGCGAGCACCGCGCCGGGCACATGGCTCCGCGTGCTGAAAGTCGTGCCCCATTCATCTTAATTTCCAGCACTGTTTCATAGCTGTCGCAAACTGTATCACAGAGGAAATCAGGGCGGGGAGAAGCTGGGCCGGGCTCATTGTGCCCCTCCACCAACGGGACGAGAGGGAGAGAGAGAGAGAGAGAGAGAGAGAGAGACAGAGAGAGAGAGAGAGAGAGAGAGAGAGAGAGAGAGAGAGAGAGAGAGAGAGAACGAGAGAGAGAGAGAGAACGAGAGAGAGAGAGAGAGAGAGCAGCGATACAGCTGGGATGAGCTGGGCCGAGCCAAGCCCGGGCCAGGCCAGACCAGACCAGCCCAGGCCGGGGGAAGCTAAATATAGTACGGGACATAAGCGATTTCACTTTGCATTTTGTAGTAGAGCAAAACGGTTTGGAGGGTATGTAGTACATACCCATAGGTCACTTTTAAGAAGTGGTGCTCACCTCTACCCCGCGACTGGACCGCTCTACGAGGGTTGCATACTCCGCAGGGGCAAAACACAGAAAGCA